GTTTTGATACACTGGTAGCACTAGCTTGCTGGCAATTGTGGAAGAGAAGGAATGCTGTAATTTTCAGAGAAGAGAGACCTTCTCTCCACCAGCTCCTGGGATCCAGCAGAAGTGAAGCAAAACAATGGCGTGTCAGAATGCCTAGAAAGAAAAGGTCGGTGGTGGACCAACGCCCCGTTCGCTTGGGCTTGTTTAGCTTATAAGCTGTACTTTTTCAGTCAACGAACACTATTTTTCTCTCACACCAAATCAGTTAACAGTACTTTCAGCTATGATTTATCAGCCAAACAAGCCCAAACAAACAGGACGCAATGGTGCTTACTTTTCCAAACAGCAATGGCTCAAATCCCATGAGCTTAGGGAGAAAAATAAAATAGAAAATTTACTAGGTACATCTTTCTTTCCCCCATACCAAGATGGTATCCGGAGATATGTAATTTGTACTCTATGACAGGCCATTGATGGGCAAAATAAAATTAATCAGGTGGGGAATCCCTCCCCCGGTTGACTATCAAAAAAAAAATACAGACACATGAGCCCAAAATAAATTACATATGTATAGCTAAATTGCTCCCATGAAACTTATGAAAGTTAACATTGTTCCGTCATTCCGTGTTTATATTAAATTCAAGATTATACTGTAAAATTATTACAAGATTGCTAAAAAATTTGATAACAATACAATGTTTATACTTTGATCAGTTTTTTCCCGTTGCAACGCAATGAATGAAATCCTCAAAAGTCTGGAGGAATCGTCCACCAGGTGGCAGAACAAAATCTAAAAAATATCCGGTAAAAAGGGAAGCACTCGATCGGACTCTGGCAAGTGACCGGAAAAGAAAACAAACAAACAAAAATTATAATGGGACTCTGGACAAAATCTCCGGTAAAAAAACTGCTTCCGATTCCTCTAATTCCAGGCGCTACAAGAAGCAGGCCGATGGCCCTTCTCAAGGTGAGGCCGTGTCCAGTAGGGACACGAATCTAAGAATAATAATAGAGATAAATTAGGAGTTTGCTAGAGTATTAGTGTCTCCATAGGATTTTGTATTCGGCTTTTATATATATATATATATATATATATATATATATGATCAATTAACAATTGGATTATCAATCCCATTTCCCTTACCTCTTCTACCCACACCTGCCTCGCCATTGCGTCTCTACCACGGCGTCGAAGCGCTTCTGATATAAAATAGAGGCATCTTTGTAAATCTTTTTTTTTTGTAGCAGTGGTTATCGGTGATGGAAGCCTACGGCGTGCTCGTGTTATGCGTCAGCATCACCACCAAGATGAAGGAGGTGGCTGAGGCAACTGCAAGGACTATTTAACTACTAATGCTTGCGGTGATCAAATCTGTTGCCCTAGACATGTACAAAAATACATGACCCGGGTACAACACACACGGGCATTTATCTAGTTAATTACTAAAATATATAGAGAGAAAAATTCCGTACCGACTTTTTTCGTTTTCTATATTGTGATACTATTTTTGACTTTTTTCACCCGTGAAAAAAATGAAGCGTATCACCCCGGAGGGTTGCGTAGTTGTGTTAATATAGAGCGATAAAAGTCAACTACAACATATGGCAACCAATCAATCACAGCAATCCTGATTACATGCAAGATACAAACTCTAACACACCTCATCAATCATAACTTCACCAGGTTAAGGTTGTTTTTGAATTCTTCAAGTTGTCGGACTGTCAAAGGTTTTGTAAACCCATCAACAAGTTGACCCTTGTAGGAAATAAACCTGACGTCCAATAACTTGTTTGCAACCCGTTCTCGCACAAAATGAAAATCAACTTCTATGTGCTTTGTTATAGCATTGAAGACTAGGTTAGCTGTCGTATTTTGCTCCCAAAGTTGTCGCACCAAAGTATTGGTACTTTTACTTGACTGATGCCTAGTTCTTGAAGAACAGTTTCCACCCAAATAAGTTCTGTTGTGCCACTGCCAAGTGACTTCTATTCAGCTTTTGTGATTGAGCGAGAGACGGTCGGTTGCTTTCAAGCACTCCAGGATATCAAATTGCTTCCAAGAAATATTGTCAATGCTCTGATAATACTGGATGACCTCTTTCTGAATTTAATTCCAAGGCTCAAAGTATGCTGCACATATCTAAGTATACGCTTAGCTGCTGACCAATGTGTTGTTGTGAGGCAGTGAAGAAATTGACACACTTTATTGACAATATGTATCTAGAAAAAAAAAAGTCTTACAATTTAAAACAGAGCAAGTAGAAAATATCAGACCCCGATACTAAAGAACCTAACCACCGCAAGGGCTGCCTTCAGAATTGGCTAAACTTTGAGAATCATACGGGTTCGAGCTCAGACATTTTTCAAAACCGAGGTTAGAAACCAATATTTAAAAGAAAACAAAAAAAACATATGGGAAACCGAATCCAATATATTCGATCAAAGTCTAATAACTTAATCGGGACCAAACAGCTCGAGCCCAATATTTAAAAGAAAACAAAAAATCAGAAGGGAAACTGAATCCAATATATTCGATCCAAGTCTAAGAGTAAATTGCACGGCCGGTCCTTAAATTATTGGGCTGATTTCGTCTGGGTCTCCAAACTATGAAATCGTACTCTTGGCTCCATAATGTATTTAAGTGATCTCATCTAGGTCCAAAATAGACATGAGAAGGGTTAGAAGCTGATCTGATTGTCCACGTGGACATGATTTAACCCAGTCACTGCCACCGTCGGTCAACAAGCGATCTAGACCGTAGGTTTTGGATTGGCGGGGTAGGAGGAGTCGTCCTCCCCTTAGCTGCGCAGGGGTGCTCTCCGGCAGCGTCCTCGTCGGAGTCGAGGTGGGGCGGAGCTCCGGCGAGCGGTGGAGCGGGAAGAGGAGGCCACGACAAAGTCGTCTGCCGCGTTCTCGATGGCGGGGAGGCAGCGGGGAAGGAAACCGAGGCAGTGGGACGGACGGTGGCAGTCTCGCAGGCGGACCGCAGCCGCGCTCATCGTCGCCATGGACGGCGGCAGCTACAGCCCGCGGTTCCAGCGCCAGGCCTCCTGCTCCTGCGCCCCCTCCATCTCGTGGCGGGGGTTCGTCCGCGCGGGCTTCGACCTCGACGGCGACGACGACTACTACAACGACGACGTCGCCTTCCACTCCTCGTCATCCTCCTCCTCCTCCAAGGCTGCGTCCTCCAAGGATCCTGCTCTGCTCCACCGGCTGCGTGCGGCGCCTGACGCGCCGGCCGCCCGCCCCCACGACGCCATACCACGCTGCGAGAACTCGACGACGGCGGCGGCGTGGGTGGAGCCCAACAACCTCTCGCGATCCTTCTCCACGCGCTTCCTCCTCCTCCCTCCTCCGCTAGCCTCGCCGCCACCGCGGCGAAGGTGACGGCGATGGCTCCCTGCTTGATCCCGAGCCTCGCCGACTCCTCAAGCGCCAGGCGGTGTGTCGCTTCCCCACGATCCGCCCGTGTTCGTGCAGGGCATCCGCCTGTCGAGGTGGTGAGGTGGAGCAGCGGGCGGAGGCAGTGGCGGAGCTGCAGGCCAGCAAGGCGAGGCGAGAGCGCGCCGACGGTCAAGGTGGAATGCGTGGAGGGAAGCCATTATGCGTCGGCGGGCGGCGAGCCGGTCTCTCCAGGCTCCAGTGTAGGGGCGGGCAGACAGCGCAGGCGGAGGCCGGCGCGCCAAGCGCCCACCATGAAGCGGCCCACCGGCGGCAGTCGCGCTTCTGGAGGTCTCCACGACTCCACATCTGTCCATGCCCGCTGACGTGCCGCGCACTGTCCTTTGCCCTGGTAGCCGCCGCCGCATCTCTATTCTCCCGCGCGCGCCATACCTACGTGCAGCCGCCGCCGTCGATCTCCTCGCCTACCGCGTCCCCGCCGGCGATACCTTCACGACGAATTTCGCAGCGAGGTGAGTAACCCTCCAATGCCTGTCCCGCCCTCTCCCTTCCTTCCGCGCTCACGAGCTCGCCGAATCCCGCCACCGTGCCCGGTCCTCCTCGCCGTCGTTACCACCGTCTCTGGCCTCCGTTCGTTCTCAGACGAGTCCGCAACGTCGAGCTATACGCGTGGGAGTAATCCCCGTGCCCGGATGGGATCTATAGCCCGAGCGCCGCCACTTTCCGGCGAGCTCCCGCCGCTGCCCATGGCAGCGCCACCGTGCCTCGCGGTGCTGACCACCGGCGCCACTGGTCAATCCCGCGGGAGACGATCTCCAACCGTCCGATCTGGAACCAGTGGGCCAGATCCGATCCAGCCGCGGTCAACACGAAGTCAGCAGAGCTAACTGGTGCGTACGTGGACAGCCTTGACACCGCCTGGGCTGTTTAGGACCTACATGGGCCGGATTAAGTAGATTGGGGAACCAACTGTGCGATTTAATAGTTTAGGGACCCAGACAAAATCAGCCCAATACTTTAAGGACCGGCCGTGCAATTTACTCAAAGTCTAATCACTTAATCGGGACCAAACAGCCATAGATCACCATCGTAACTAAGATAACTCAGCTGTATGGATAACAATTTTCCTTTTGATTCCTATACACAAGCATTTTCTGGTTGTAGATGAGTTCCACAAGCAGATTGTTAGCAGCAACACTACTGATTTTTGCTCCAAACTTAAAATTCAAACATAAAAATCATTGCCAACGATTCTATGGCACAAAAATACAAAATTGTACTATGTAACTAAGAGCATGAAAATGGTTGCCAACCACAATCGAGAGGGAAAAATGGACGCACAAACAATAGTTTAATTTATTACCAAGTCAAAATTTCTTGAAAGAATACCGACATGACTCCCTGATGTACTACAAGCCACGAGTTCCATCCAATTCTTGCGACACACACACACACAACAGCTACAGGCACCATACCATCCGTTCAACAACATATCTCGCCCACTTTTTAGGACAACCTATAAGGCTATAACCTTCTCACCTGACGCTACTATGCTCACCGGACCAAAACCTTTGTTTCCCGTCAGAGGGGACACATCGGAGGGGAGCTCTCTAGCTCACTAGCTGCTGGTTGCCATACATCGGGTACGCGCCATACGCTGCAGCGTACATGTTTGGGTGTGGCACCGGGGAGGCATAGCCATATCCGCCATAGAATGGTGTGCCATAGTACATGTTGTTCCTCCTGTTGCCGGAGTCACCCCTCCACTGGAAACAGAAAAGGAAATGGGTGTAAGACTGTAAGGGGAGGAAGGAAGCAAATGGTTTCACAAAAGCATTATACCTTTCACAGTTGTGAGGAATTATAAATATGTCAAAAAATATGCAATGCTAAAAAGAAAAAATATGCAATGCCTATTTCAGCCGGAATGGCCCTGTTCGCTTCTCTTATAATCCGTATTTTTCAGCTTGTTTTTTCAGCCGAAACAGTGTTTTTCTCTCACAACAAATCAGCCGGAACAGTGTTTCGTCTTGTTTTTTCAGCAAAGCGAACGGGTCTGACACAAAACGATTATTCTGTGCAAGAGATCAGAATGCCCAGGGCTACCTTATTGCTGCTTAAAATGTGCTGCAAGATGCAACCATATTTAACCTTTTGTTTCTGTTTAGGGTTGTAGGAACATAATTGTCAGTACTCAACTGTGGTAAGCTAGTTGCAATCAAGGTTACAATTTTCAGAGAACTGGTTTTTAGTCTTAAAGGTAAAAACAGAATTATGCAGCAGATTAATCAAGTTAGTTTGTTCGAGAGATAAATAAGTGGAGGGTGGAACATCATCCAGCAAACTCCTTCTGAGAGTTGGTTTATTCCTCCACCAACCCAATGAATGAAACCGATGGCGGTGAGCGCATCCAAAGTCAGTGTACTCAATAATTTACTGAATTGCTGTTAAGTTAGCAAACCTAGCTATTGCAAAGCTACAATTTAACAAAAACTGATTGGGGTCAGTGAAAACTGATACTATAACAAGCAACTACAGAGGACGGGTAGATAACCCAGGTAGCTAGCAGAGAGAGTTGGAGCTAGCGCCTTGGGTTTGAATCCCATTGGCTACGCACTCGTTAGAGTTGTGGGCGGGCCAGATGGGGAGTTCAAACCTCGGTTCCCATATTTAAAGGTAGGGGTGGTGGTGGCTGTAATCTAGCTTCTGGCTCCTATAACAAGTGATTACACAAGAAAAAATAATCCTCACCAAAGGAAAAAAATGAATACAGAGCATGACAAACCTGCTATGCGATGGGCTGCTGCCCCATGAAAGGCGAACTGCCTGCTTTCCAATGAGTGATCCATTTAATCCTTGTAGTGCTTCTTCAGCATCAGTTCTAGAAGAATAGTCACACGGCTCAAACATCACTTCAGCAAAGTTATGGACAAAAATAAATAGCAAATCATGTAAATGCTTCAGGTACATACCTGCTAACAAATTGAACAAAGCCACATTGCTTTCCTAGAGGAATTTTCACAGGCAAGATCACCATATTTGGCAAAGGCTTTTCTAAGTTCATCTTCACTGACATTGGGGTCAAGCCCACCAACATATACCTAATGGAGGGTGACAACTACAGATTAAGAACTATCAACTTAAAGGTAATAAACAGCACAGGTAAAGAGTACCACAAACCGTTCTGTTAGAAGAATCGCCATCTGAATGACCAGGAGTCAAGGAGCCAGAATCTCCTGAGTACAGTAGTCATCAAGTTCAGTGAGCAGATCAGAAAAACTAGAGAGATTACACGAAAGAACATGAACAATGCCATGGTACATAACACATAACATGCTCTGGGAACATTAACTTGGTGTGGATTGACTATCTGTGGATAACATATAGTAAGTTTGAATCAAGGAACCTACCTATAAAGTTATTCAAGGAGCAACTATAGAAGGGTTTGTGCCAGTTTAGTACATGCAGTGCTAGCTCCACACTGAAAATTTTTCATGCACTAGGTTGTTTTCCTGATACTATTCATTAATTTCAACAGGCTACATATTCGGTCCTCAAAAGAACAAAGTACCCATAGATAGATCGCAGAGCAGTAAATTGGAGGAAAACATGGCTCTACTGTTAGAGGTGAAACAGAATCCAGGATATCTATATTTGCGAGCTTCTGACACAAAACCATAGGATTCATGGAATGTGTCAAGATGCATCAACTATATGAAATCCACCTGAGCTAAGAAGAGGATCACACAAGCAGCAACTCTATCAGCAGGCCAAGGATGAGAACGAGTACTTAGTAGACTGGTGCTAGAGATGAGGCCACAGCCATCCAATCAGATAGTGGGATTTCCCTAGGAATCAGATTTTTTTTTCAGAACACTGTAGCCATAGAAATCAGGCTTTACATACCACAAGCCAATATACCGGAATTTTCTTTACAGTTACGACCATAAAGCATGAAAATGATGTCACAAACATGTCAGCAAAAAGCAAAGAACATTTGGGCCAAGAATGATAATGATAAACTGTTCCAAAAAATAAAGTGAACGATGAAATGATGAAGAGTACTAATAATGTGTATCTGTACAAAGAATATAACGATGAACAATAGGGCAGGGTATACAATCAACCTGTATGTCAGTAAAGGAGTATTCTCTTCACGATGTTCAGGTTCAGCATTGTAATTAATCTAGTGCTGTATGTCTGGATCATGTTGTAGCTGTGCCGAGCAACACAATGGATCATTACAACAACAACAACATAGCCTTTCAGTCCCAAGCAAGTTGAAGGGAATGCAACACGAGGACTTCCCAGGAGGTCACCCATCCTAGTACTACTCTCGCCCAAGCACGCTTAACTTCGGAGTTCTGATGGGATCTGGTGCTTTAGTGCTGGTATGATCGCATCCACAACACAATGGATCATTGATAGAGCTATATAGAGTTGAAAGGCACAAGAAACTATCTCCTGGCTGCCACCAGCAGCATTTATATGTGCATAATCGCTTTCTCCCTTGAGATAACCTTCCTTCCTTGTCTATGTTCAGTCCACACGCTTTTGGTGACACCTTCAGAATGCTATATATCATATATCACTACAAAAGGAGCTTCAATAAACGGATCAGAACGGTCTATCATGAATTCATGATGCCACGCATAATCAACAAAGGTTAATCGCTTAACAATTTGATACATAGAGAAATTAAGAGATTTAAATTGAAGCAGGCAACTTCAACACTGAACTCTGTCATTCACATCTGAATCAGCCCTGAAAGCAGTGTTTTCATCCCATCTTTTAGTTAACCGAACTGCGCTATTTCTTTAAGTTGGTCTTAACTCAGTCAAAAATTCTTTATATTGCATAACTAATTTGTTTGGTTCTGGATAGGTTATATCCGAACTCAAACCTACAGAAATTATGTGCTATCAGAGCACATACATCCAGAATCGATTTCTGCAACATTTGACTAAAAAAATGGATGAACCATCTAAGAAACAAACAAATCATGCAACTCTACAAATATTGTCAATAAAATCGTTTCCAGCTTCATCCTTGTGCTGGACTAAGATCTGCAATACCTACACATGGTTGCTGACGGATTGGAAAAACAGAGCTCATCCCTCCTTCTCTTGCCCTCCTACTAAACATAAAACAGGGACATGGGACATCCCAGAAAGGGTGGGGGAATCAACATGGAAAGTACGTGGTCATAATTTTCCAACCACCAAAGGCTTTTGTAATAGCACAAGTTCCTCCCATAACTTTGAGATGCAACCAACCAACCACACTGATTTTCCCAAGCTCTCATATCCGGCAATATGAGAACAATTAATAATAGCTCAACTGAGGAGCCGAGAAGCAAGATGATCAAACCATACCAAAATGGCACACAAACTGAGGCAATACACTACATACCCAAAAATGAAACAAAATAGAGGGTTGTATGAGTTTTGTTACTAACCAATTTTCTCTAGATGTTGAATTATCATATCTGGAAGATCAAATTTCAGTATATCCTTTTCAGCTCCATATCTCATAGGAAGTATACTGAAAGCACAATAAACACAATGTAAAGAGGTAACAGTTATAGTGCCTTACAAGATACATAGCACAGCTGAAGTAAACAAGTGGGTGACACATTCCCCATTGAATATTGATGTTTCAACTTTTATTTTTGGAATTAAACAATAGTTCTAAAACCTTAATGACTATTTAAAACTGTCACATTGCATATTTCTGATGAACATTTAACTTACTTCTAACATTGCAGCTCATGCATATCTTTATCCCTTTTACACTGCTTCATAGAGAATTTATGATTCTCTAGATGAACTCCACATATGAGACAAGGAATGGCATTGGTGGTAGTAGGCTAGTGCAAAATTTACATTTGAACAACTGGAAGAAGCCCCAAGTGAAGCTGCCGGTGAAGAATTTCCTGCAGCCCATGTTTCAAAGTTCAGACACACACATTTCAGGATCGGAGGAAGAACTCCGGCACAGTATCAGCGTCAGAGGGCGGTGTCAGTATACTCCATACTTGGCAATCATTTTCCCCTCCCGATTGTGCAAGCTATTGATGAGGTGGGCAATCACAGTGCCGCTCGGGTAGATGAGCTTGTAATTGACGATGATTATCTGAACACAACCAGCACCAGAATCTAATCAATAAACCGAGTTACAGTGACAGGATTGTTGATGGCATACAGCTACTATTTTTGTGCTTTGCAACATACATATAGAAAATAGGAACAGCCATGCAAAATGGCAACAAGCACCAGGCAATGTTCAGCTAGCAACAGGCCAATTACTGGATAAACAACAACAGGCTGGAGTGGACAACCTGCATACCAGGCAAAGGTTCAGCTAGCAAGAGGCCAATTAGTGGATAAAAACCAACAGATTGGAGTGGACAACCAGCAAAACTATGTTCAACATTGTTGTGCAGTGTACTCACTACTTCAGAAAAGGCATCTCATGAACCCTGAATTCCAGATAAAAATGCATGTTTGGTTTCAGGACAGTGCATCGCTGCATCTGTCTATTCTCGGCATTGCTCCAAGGGTAATATGTGCCACTGAAATGAAATAATAATTCAAGCGAGTTCTTGGGTGTGGGTATAAATGCTAAATTATGTATTATATTCCACAGGGCCCAGGATCTGTATATGCCACTTATGTAAAGTGTGCTTAATTGGCTGGAAACCATGCAGCCATCTCAAGTAAAGACACGTCTTTGGTGGTAAAGGCTAACTCCATCGGGAGCTTCTACTTCTTTCACATTGGTTGATGGTCAGTCAAAGAAGGGGTAACTCATCCCTAGGCTATTGTTGCCATTGCTCTGCAGCCAGAGCCAATAGGCCAATCGAACAGAGTAACAACCATGCTTCTCAAAAGCCCAAGCTGTGAAGTTATGAAAAATATTAAAATATATTTGGAAAATATCATAAGAAGTAAACTTTCCACAGAAAGAACATTTTGATTCCTAGACTTCAGACATAGCATACTTTCTACAAATGCAGAATAATATCATTGCCTTTTCATACAATTTGATTTATGGGCACCATAGCAAACCTAATCGCTTTCTACCAAACAATAATTTGTTCAAGGGATTTCAAAACAGAGCGGTGGCATGGTGGCCTGGAGTGTCTTGCCTCTTAAGCCATGTGGGGCTTCAGTCAGAGTCTTGGTGTCTTACAGCGAGGCGGCTCATACATCAGTCTAGAGAAGGACCCAAACTCCCTAGGAGCCGCACAGGAGAGGATATTTCTTAGATACAAGATGGATTAAATAAGGTTTTGTTCTCTTTGACGAGGATGAAAAGGCAGGGAAGGTGGTCCATTAAGCACCAATCAACTTATTAATGGCATGACATTGACTGAAGGTGTGGAACACAGTCATTTGATTGCTTTAATGAATTGCTGTGATCTTTCAGTTCTGTCAAACTCATAGCTTTACAAGTGCTACATATGGTAAAAAAGATTCTACAGGAAAACAATCTAGAAATAACAGCATGGTTGAATGTATTGTAGAAACAAATGGAGAAAACCTTTCTAAACATGAAACTTGGAAAGCAGGGAAAATTTCAGTGTGATGGTATAGCTCAAGTAACCTGAAGTTAAAACTGTTAATGTAACACTTTAAACAAAAGGAGCATTTTTGAAATGCATATTAATATCTTATCTGATTATTTGCATAAGGCAAGGGCTAACCTGTATCGATTACACCCTCAGCTGTTGTCCATGGATTTAACTGACACTTTTCAGGTTACTGCTTTCCATTTCTTGTCCATAGAATGGCAGTGTGGAAGTGGAGGAAACAAATGGAGCCACCAGTGTCCTGCACTAGGCGAGCTCAGAGCCATCATAGCAAAGTCCCTTCATCAAGTTAATAAATCTCTATGTGAAAATTATGTTACACCATTTGCTTTCTGAGAATCATCACAATCACCCCTGTCATTGCCAATGCCCAAAATGCAACGTAGCTTGACATCTGGAGCAATGCCTGCATGACGATACTCTCATACATCATACAAGCTTCCTTCTCATCCCCGTTTTAAGGTATCCAATAATGAGAGCTGTGTAGGTTACTACAGTAGGTTTAAGCTTTCTTTTTTCCATTTCTTCCATCATCAAGCGTGCACCATCCATTGCAAGCACTTTACTATAACCATCAATCATACAAGTATATACAAAAGCATCTGGGAACACACCACTTCTTTCCATTTCTCTGAGCCATTCATTAGCAGCCTTCATATTTAAACGCCTACAATAGCAAGCAATGATAGATGTGTACAAAACATTGTCAAGGAACAGGTCTTCCCCAATCATATCCCTAATCAATCCCATAGCTTCAGGAAGTCTATCATCATTACACAGCCCATTTATGAGGCTAGAATATGTAAATGTGTTAGGTTTTACGCCTTCATCCAACATCTTACGGTACAACCTTAAGGCCTCCTGCAACTTCAGAGCTTTCACGAAGCCATCAATAATAATACTGTAAAGGACAACATCAGGAACATAGCCCCGCTTTATCATGTCTGCTAAAAATTTCCACACATCACTATATTTGTTGGTCTTGCAAAGGCCATTGATAATAACTCTGTACATGCAAAGGTTTGGGACGATTCCCAATGACTGATGTATTCTATCCAGGAATAGGAAGGCTTCACCAACTAGCCCTTCTTTGCTAAAGCTGTCAACTAGGATTGTGCATGTCACAATGTTGGGACTCAACCCATTTTCAAGCATGAGCTCAAACACTCCCAATGCATCTTGAAGGTTTCTATGTCTACATAATGCGTAGATCAGACTGGTATAATTGTAAACATCTGGAGCGATATCATGATGAATCATGTCAAACCAAAGGTCAGAGATGGCCTTGAGATCTAAATGTTGGCAACAGCCATGAAGAATGATGCTGTAATTTATCTGATCATGCTCAAAACCATGGTCTTGGAGGTTCTTGAAAATCTTTAATGCCAATGTAACCTGTCCAGTTTTGCAAAGGCCATGCAGAAGTGAACTGTAACTCACTTGATTAGGATATATTCCATTTCTTGCCATTTCATCAAGCATGTCATAACCTTTCAATAAATCCCCATGTTTGCATAACCCATCAACTAATATGCTGTAGCTGTGGACATCTGGGACAAACCCACATTTCTTCATCCCATGAAACACTTCTATGGCTTTGTCAACCTGACCCTCGCTACAGAAACCATGAATCACAGCATTGAAACAATAATTGCTGCAAGGGCCTCCACTCTGAGAAAGAGTTTGAAGAAAGTCCCATGCAGATGTTACCTGTCTGGAACGGCAAAGCCCATAGAGGTAAGTTCCATATGTTGTAGCGTTTGGTCTCACACCATTTGATTCCATTTCACAAAGAAGCTCAAAAGCTTCATTTAAGCATAACCTCTCTCCATGTGTGTACATACTCATCAAAATTGAATAAGAGCAGAAATTGGGTGAAGGACCACAACTTTTCATGTCATCAAATAAACTCCTCGCATACATGATCTGATTCCCCTCCACTAAACACTTCAGCAAGAAATTGCACAAACGTCTGTCAACGCCAACATTCTTGGCCTCAACATAAGTGAGAAGAGCATCCTCAAACATCGACGACTCTACAAAAATACGGATGACCGCAGCATAAAATTGTAACAGCGTCATTGACTGACCCAAATTGCTGACCAAGATAGGAGCCAACTCAAACAACTCTGACCCAGCATTTCCACAGTAATCAACAATACTCTGAATCAAGCGCCGGACCTCTCTGATTCTCCGCGGCAAGAACGCCTGCACAATCAAAGCAAACAAACCAACTGACCGAGATGGCCCGTATAACCTCACACACTCCCTGAAGCTTATATTTCTGGCAGCATCCCAGTTCGAAGCCCGCACTGCTAGTGTGATCAAGGGAAGCAGACGACGACTTCTATAGTCACCATAAGCAGAACTCTGACTGGGCTCTTCGTTATCAGAGCTATTCAACCAACAAGCCTGAGAGGAAAGGCGCGACACTGGGGGATAGCTCCTGATGACAAGGGCTCGGCGCAGAAACAATGGGACCACCCGGCGCATAGACGATGCTGATCCCCTCCTTACATTAACAGTACCCAGCAGAAGCAGGGATGAGCTGTGCACGAACTACACTTCATGGACCAATATTACTTGACAAGTCGACGAAAAGGACCGCTGAGGCAACATCAAGTCCGGTAACCCCGGCAGCCGCAAAGGAATCGACGGCGCCGCGGCTTGGCTCGAACTGGAGGCTGGTGGCCCCAGTGGTCTCCGGGCCGCCGCCCCGCGCCCCGGGCAGCTTCAGTGGTCCCCTGCTCCTCGCCCGCCGCGGCAGGCAGCGAGAGATGGAGGCGAAGACGCAAGGGGCGGGGCAAGGTGAGGCCGACTTGGCGCGGGCGAACTTCCGCTCTGGATGCCCTTCAGCCACGATGTGCACGGAAGGGGACTAGAGGGGAGGACGGCGTGGAACTACGGTGGCGGCGGCGCGGGCGAATAGCGACGCTGCTCTAGCCTGCTTGGGAACTTGTTTTTTTTTTGGAAAAGAAGTGAGCCGGTGAGAATGAGAAGTGGGATGAGTCTCTGCCGCGGGCACGATCCGTTCGGAGGAGGCGAGCAGGAAGGACCGGGCCACGAGCAACATTGCCAAATTGGGAGCCCAAAAGGCCCAAGTGACCAAACAGAGAGAAATAGCAAGGGCACGCGCTGCGCTGAGCTTCAATTTTGTCCCAACTCGGCTGTCCTCAAAAAAAAAAAAAAAAAGTCCCAACTCGGCGGCTTTGCTCCCCTTGCTACAGTTGCCCAGGGCGAAAAAGGAGGCGATGCGTGTTTTCGAAGGCGATTCCATCGGTCCCTTTCAAATGGCCAGAGCGGTGAATAGCCTATTAAGAATTTCTACAATAACACTTAGCAAACCGGTTTAGATAAATATGAGGCGAAACGAGTGTTGCACTAGCCTAGTAAAAATGTAAGCCACCTACTATAATTCTAGTTTATATAGTCTCTATTCACACGATGGCTATGTCACTGCACTAAGTTAGTGTGCTCTCAAAGACTAACTAAAGAACCACACTAACCAAACTAACAAGCTCTCACGATTAGCTACACTAAAGAGTTTGACAACTAGTTTGGATAATGTAAAGATATAGAGCAAGATAGTTATACCGCCGTGTCGAAAAATAAACCAATCAATCATAAGAATGAATACCAATGAAGACCAATCACCTCGGAATCAAACGATGACAGAATGATTTTTTACCGAGGTTCACTTGCTTGCCGGCAAGCTAGTTCTCGTTGTGTCGATTCACTCATTTGGAGGTTTACGCGCTAATTGACATCACACGACAAACCCTCAATTGGGTGCCGCACAACTAACACAAGATGAGGATCACACAAGCCACAAGCAATTCACTAGAGTATCTTTTGGCTCTCCATCGAGGAAAAGGTCAAGAACCCCTCACAATCACCACGATCGGAGCCAGAGACAATCACTAACCCCCGCTCGACGATCCTCGCTGCTCCAAGCCGTCTAGGTGGCGGCAACCACCAAGAGTAACAAGCGAATCCCACGGCGAAACACGAACACCAAGTGCCTCTAAATACAAGCACTCAAGCAAAGCACTTGGATTTACTCCCAATCTCACAAAGATGTTGAATCTATGATGGAAAAGAGTGGGAGGGCTTTGGCTAAGCTCACAAGGTTGTTATGTCAATGCAAATGGCCAAGAAAGTGAGGTAGAGCCAGCCAAACGGTATTTATAGACACCCCCAAATAATAGAGCCGTTGGCTCAATTATTGGGCTGACTACGCGTCGACCGGACGTGCAGGTCGTGTGCACCGGACACACCGATCGTGTATACCGGACGCGTCCGATCGCTACCTGACCGCCACGTGTCCCATTTTAAATGAAGTAGTCGTTACTGCCACAAATCCCATGCGACCGGACGCGCGATTAGAAATGACCGAACGCGGAGCCGCAGCGTCCGGTCGAGTCCAGAGAGCTCCCAGGGCCGACCGGATGCGTCCGGTCACTCCGGACCGGACGCAGGAGACGCAGCGTACGATCAAGTCCAGAGAGCTCCTAGGGCCGCTCCAGGCCGACCAGACGCGTCCAGTCACTTTGGACCAGACGTTCCCAGCGTCCGATCAACTGTTATACTAAACATCGACTTTACTGATTCACACCGAACGCGTTCGGTGTGGCGACCGGACACGTCCGATCACTCTGTGACCTGCGCGACTAACTTCTTTTCAACTCTATCTTCTTCACCCTTACTCAAATGTGCCAACCACCAAGTGTATCATCTTGTGCACATGTGTTAACATATTTTCACAAACATTTTCAAGGGCGTTAGCACTCCACTAGATCCTAAATGCACATGCAATGAGTTAGAGCATCTAGTGGCACTTTGATAATCGTATTTCGATACGAGTTTCACCCCTCTTAATAGTACGACTATCGAACCTAAATGTGATCACACTCGCTAAGTGTATTGATCACCGAAACGAAAAGGCTCCTACCATTTATACCTTTACCTTGAGCTTTTTGTTTTACTTTATCCTTTTTCAAGTCCAAGCAATTTATCATCACCATGGCAACACCATCATCATGTCATGATCTTCATTTGCTTCACCACTTAAAATGTGCTACCTATCTCATGATCACTTAATAAACTAGGTTAGCACTTAAGGTTTCATCAATTCATCAAAACCAAACTAGAGCTTTCAATCTCCCCCTTTTTGTAATTGATGACAACCCTTTCACAAAGATATGAATTGAAATTCAATTTAATCCATGTTGCTTGCCAAGCATATTTACTATGTGTAAAAGGATATGGACAAGTTTCATGAACCCCAAATGATAGCAATTGCTCCCCCTACATATGTGCTAAGAGTTTGGATTGTAGTTTGCACATATGCCTAGATAGAAAATATAAGAGACAATATCTACCAAATGTTGATAAGGTATAAAAGATGGACCTTTAAAACGTGATACCAATCGGAGTGCACCAATATACCATCCTTAGCACCATTAGTAACTAGACATACACAAAAACTAGAATACGTCGTGAGATCAACATTAGATGTAAGGGTCTCGTTTTCATAATGTGAGCATGAGTCTAGTTACTTAAACATATGCATGCTATTTTCTATTTTACCATTTAAACCTACAACTAGCATACACCACACAAGCATGGATATTGAAATTTAAAAACTTATGCCATACAAGTAAACATATAAAATGCACATTTAAATGCACCATACAAGTTTATGAGCTTGCTTCCCCTACTTGTGTGCTCAAAATTTTAATTGATCCCTTTCTTTGTCATATCTCTCCTCCTATGTCAAATTCTCCCCCTATCACTTATATCTTTATTTCTTTCCCCTTTGTTGTCTTAGTACACTATTTCTATTTCTCCCCATAGCACTAATATCTTTGTTTTTTCCCCTTTGTCATCAATGACCACAAAGATTCAAAATGTAGATAGGTTGAGATTATCAATGTCAAACAATGGGGTGATGATCATTTTTTCAAATTTGGTTCAATATAGAATACTTGCCAAAGACATTTAACTCGGTTTAATCCAAAGACAAGCTTCTTCACACCTCTAAATAAGAGTTATCTTGTACCATGTTGAGTTAAACACTTAGAGCTCATTTTCTAGATTAAACACTAGGTTTACAAGCCTCATTAACATGTCATATGCTACCACTAGACCAAAATAAGCATACAAGCAATAGTGGTACCATACATTTATCAAATTCATTTGATTTTCATGAATGAGCCTATTTAATGTGAGAGATGACTAGATGCACTAAACATGTCCTTAGCAAGGATGTATGCCATGCCAATCAACTTTTACCTTGGATTGCTCGAAGGAGAGGCATGTCATATGAGTAGGGGTGCATCAACACATATTTGAGAAATCCAATATGTTCAACTTATTCCTTAGCTTGCAAAACATTTTCTCATCCAATGGCTTGGTGAATATATCAGTAAGTTGATCTTCGGTGCCTACACTCTCAATGCAAATGTCCCCTTTTTGTTGGTGATCTCTTATGAAATGGTGATGGACATCAATGTGCTTTGTTCTTGCACGTTGAACCAGATTGTTGGTCAACTTGATTGCACTATCATTGTCACATAGCAATGGCACTTTCTTGAACTTAATTTCAAAATCACTCAAAATGGCCTTCATCCAAAGTATTTATGCACAACAACTATCGGCGGATATGTATTCGGTTTCGACGGTTGATAATACAACACTATTTTGCTTCTTTGATGACCATGAAACAAGTGATCTTCCTAACAATTGACATGTGCCCGAGGTGCTCTTTCTTTCAACATTGCATCCCGCATAATTCGAGTCGAAGTAACCAACTAGCTCAAACTTTGCTCTCTTGGGATACCACAAACCAACATTTTGTGTATGATTCAAGTACCTCAATATTCTCTTTGTAGCCTTTAAATGACTTTATCTTGGCGAGGCTTGAAATCTTGCACACATGCATACACTAAACATGACATCCGGTCTTGATGTGGTCACAGAGTAGGCTTCCAATCATAGACCGACACAATTTTTGATCCACCATATTGCTATTTGCATCACTATCCAGAAAGCTCCCAGGGCTGACCGAACGTGTCCGGTCACTCCGGACCAGACGCAGGAGACGCAGTGTCCGGTCGAGTCCAGAAAGCTCCCAGAGCCACTCTAGGCCGACCGGACGCGTCCGGTCACTTCGGACCGGACGCTCCTCAAATATCCGATCAACTGTTATAATCGAACATCGACTTTGTTGATTCACACCGACGCTTCGTGGCGTGGCGACCGGACGTGTCCGGTCACTCTATGACCAAATACGACTAACTTCTTTTTTCAACTCTATCTTCTTCACCCTTGCTCAAATATGCCAACCACCAAGTGTATCACCTTGTACACATGTGTTAGCATATTTTCACAAACATTTTCAAGAGCGTTAGCACTCCACTAGATCCTAAATGCATATGCAATGAGTTAGAGCATCTAGTGGCACTTTGATAACCGCATTTTGATACGAGTTT